AACCAACCAAAACCAAAACAACAAAACGCAAACATAACGCTAACACAATTACAAATACAAACGAAAACAAAAACTTAACAACAAACACAACCACACCCACAAACACCAATACAAACACAAAGAAAAAACAAACAAAAAAGCAAACGAAAACAAAAACCTAACAACAAACCCAACCACAAACACCAATACCAGCAAAAAAAAATCAACGAAAAAAGCAAACGAAAACAAACCAAATCCAAACGCAAAACCAACCAAAAACACAAATACAAACCCAAACAAAAAAAACACAAACAAAAACGAAAAAAGAAAGAACAAAAACGAACCAAATTAAAACGCAACCACTAACGCAAACCCACCTAAACACAAAGAAAACACTAACGCGAACATAAACGCCCGGGGCGGAATCACCTGTTTTAGCTTAATGAACGACTATAGTACCCCAACTTATTCACAGTCTTTTGCACTCACTTAAACGAACGCGCCTGTTTCAATTTAATAAACAATTTTAATACTCCAAGCTTATCCGTAAAATACCTACAACATTTGCACTTGATCAATCCCCGCTAATTATGTAATTTTTTTTTTCCCAACACCAAAACAAAGTAATTAAAAAGTAAATTATTTTCACGGAATGCAATGGTTTTTTATAAAGGGAAGTAATTGTGTTTTTCCTAATTTATCAAAGGGAAGTAAGTGCTATAGGACTAAATAAAGACATAATTAGAATTTTTGTAAAAGATGATATTTTTTAAAAAACTTGTGTTTAATGAACATGCCGACAATTATTACTATAATTTGAAAAATGAAAATGATTTCCCAACACTTTTAATAGTAATTTTTTAACTCATAAATTTAGACAAACGCGCACGATAATTGATCTAACACTAAAATCCGTAGAAATGCCAACGACAAACATATGCGTTACAGAATTGAGCTTTATATATTATATATATCCGCCCCCAGGTAAGTTTAGTCCCTCTCCCACCCCGAAAATATCAAGTGGCTCCCCCCTCCCCCGGAGAAAAAAGTCTGAAAACACTGCTTAAATCAATGAGCTATACCGAACAGAGGCGTAACAGCCCTTTCCGGGGACAAACTTTTAATTTGGCGCCACCCTATCTTTTTTATATTTATAATATAAAACTGCAGCTAAAATGAATTTTTTTTTCAAACCCATTTTGGCGGGGGTGGGCGGCCTAAAATTTCCAGGGGGGGGGGCATTGTTTATATATGTTCTATATAAATTCAATTTCGTTTGGGGTGGGGGTGGGGGGGTGGGGGGTTGGGGGGGGGGGCGGTAGACTTTCTTCGGGGGAGCTCCGCCCTCGTCTCTTCTAAGGTAAGTTACAGAAAGGGTCACATTTTAAGCTTGGCCGTCTTTAGTTATAAAATGTCTATATTGTGCGATTATGTAATGATTTTTTTTGTTTTTGAATAATAAAAGGTTATAAATGTTATAGATTCCAGCCTACAATTGTTATATATGAATCTTTTAGGCGAGGGTGAAAAATATGAAAAAAACCCCACTAAACTAATTAGATGATTCATATGCGACTAAGACGATTTTAGACGCATTAGTTACACTATCTCATATTGTATGTCTACTAACATTAAGTATTTGAATCAACGTGATAATGCTAAAAACTACCAAACTATTTTGTTTAGAACTTCTGCTTTATATATTTTTTTTACAATAGCGAATAACAAATAAGTTGTATTTATAAGTAAGCGGTCAACCTAAGGTGCATAAATTTGAAATGAATGTAAAGTTAAGCAACGAATTATCTCCTATTTGGAAATCCAAATACCAGAATTTTTATTCAAGGGAAACAACTTTCTCAAGAAAAGCTAAATTAACTAAGTGTAACTAAGACATGCTTGAAAAACACAGTAAAACGCTCTAAATTTCATTAGATAATAGTTATAAGAAATCTTTTATGTTAGCTATGTAATCGTGTCAAAAGAATATATTTTACTCATTGACTACTTAACTGTAGGTCTTGTTTGAAAGTCTAAACATGGTAGCTTTATTATAACATACTTCTAATCAATTTTGATGACATACATTTCGTAGTATTTGTTCTTCACACCTGCATTCGCATTTATTATACCAAATTTGGGATCCCCTAAATATAGGGACGCCATTCGTAAAATCTATTACGGGTAAATGACATTGCTATAATAATTGATTACCTAAATAAAAAAAATCAACTTATAATTTGAAAAAAAAAACTAAGCTTACGGTTAGTTATAAGATATTTTTCAGCTAGAGAACGCCTTCGTTTCTTTGTAGTGTGTACCGTCCTGAATTGAAATCATCTAACTTACGATAAACTAGACTACTTGATATACTCTACTACATTCACAACACATATCAAACTTTGATGCATAAACATAATTAGACTCGATACTCCAGAATTAAGACACCACCTCAACTAACTTCGCCAAGCTCTACAAACGATACTCCCAATCAACAACGATTTAACAGGGCCTATTACTATACGTTAACAGTCGACACAATTCGATACTTTAATACCACAAGACTCGATAGTCCTGAACTCCATAACTACGATACCTCATCACCTACATTCTCATTTCTCTATTACCAATCAGATTCTACTTGACTTTCAACTACACAACAGCCAAATGAAATTAACACTTTGATACTTTTTACTTACGAAACCATATCAGCAACAGCCTACCGTCGTTACTCCCAAATCTAAAGGATTTATCCAAACTTACCAAACAAGCACAATACTTTGAACCAGGGGCGTAGCTAGGGGGGGGGGGGGGGCGGGGGGTGCGGACCGCACCGGGTGACACCATTTAGGGGGGTGACACCAAGGCAAAAAATAGCAAAATATATAGAGAAAATTCTAAGGGGGGGGGGGTGCAAATCGAAAGTTTGAGGGGGGTGGTGCAAATCAAAAACTTGAAAGTTTGTCCCCGGGAAGGGTCGCAACGCCTCTGGGGGGGGGGGGGGGGGGGGGTGACACCATTAAGTGCCGCACCGGGTGACACCCGACCTCGCTACGCCACTGCTTTGAACACCCCGTCATTACAAAACTATACCAGATCAGATTTCTAATTCAAAGTCAGAGAAAACGAGACTTACAACCCTATTAAAAACAAAATTGCACGTGTTTTGGAACACCTGTCATGCGCTGGAGCGATCACTAAATCAACATTAAAATTAGATAACCGTTTGAAATATTCGAAATTTAAATTTAAATTACGAACTTATTTAATCGTTTTCTACAAGAACTATGTGACGCCAAACTAAAAGGCAAAGTGACTGGTAAAAAGCGCCCCGAACTTTCCAAATAAGGGAGGTGGGGTTGTATTCTCACCATCGCGAATAAATATAGGCCTTTATAGGCCTAATTTTCGGGGTGGGGAGGGGGGTTCAAAATTGATAGTTCGTCCTGGGTGCCGAAATAGATCGCTAATCCTTTGTATATCACCATCTATAGTTTATAAATGATAGTCAAAATTATTAATTATTAGGTACTTTTTGATAATAGCGATAAAACCTTTTGCGTCCCCCCCGCCCCCCCCCCCCCCTCCCCTCTAGGGATGGCGCCCTATGCGACCGCCTAGTTCGCCTAATAGGTAGCGCCGGCACTGTGTGAACATAATCTTGAAACTACCAAATATGAAATAAATAGTCTGGAAATGGTGTATACAATATTTAAAAAATCTGGTGCGATGTTTAAAAAATCAATATTAAATATGACAATAAAAACCTGACTGTTTGAATTTTGACGGAATTATACGCCTACTTAAAATTTGATGTATTTTAGTATTTTTGTGAACTAAACACTTTTTTACTTTCTCGTATATACGTAGTATAGAGAAAGTATTGTAATCGTGCAAAAAAAAAAAATCGAGATTTTTACAAATCTCGACGTTTTACACCTCACTGATACGGAAAAACATAATTTTGCAATCTTGTCCGTATGTCTGTGTGTGTGTGTGTCTGTCTGTCTGTCCGTGTGTAAACACGATAACTTGAGTACCGTTACAGCTAGGTTGATGAAATTTCATATATAAGTATTTTATCAAAATCGTAGATCCGTATCAACTTTTGAGCGATTTCCGATAACCGGAAGTGGTACTTTTCCTACTTTGAATTTTTCAAAAGCCTATAACTTGAGTACTATTTCAGATAGATAAATGAAATTTCACATGTAAGTAAAAGATCTAATTCTCTACCTTCTGTTAAATTTTGAGTAATTTCCGTTGACTGGAAGTAGTAATTTACGCTACTCCCGATTTCTCAAAAAACTAATGTAAATTTTTAAAGTACTAATAATATTGCGCACTATTATACGCGTTTTTATTCGGCGTTTGCTTGGTGCGCAATGTTTTTTTTATGAGATTCTATTCTATTTTTAAAAGTTTAAGTATTTAAAATGGATTAAAAATCATAACTATATCCCCAGTTACCATCCCCTGTTGTTTTATATAAGAATATTCGAGAAAGTTTAGGGGAGATCACTACCGGTTTATTTTAAAAAGGAAAAAAACAATTTTGTTGTGTTCCATATTTTATCAACTGACAACAATCATGGATGATTTAAAAAAAAATATATCGGCAAAGTTCTAAGTAAAAAAATAAATGCTAGATCTATGTGTTTTTATAAAGTGGGGTTTTCAGGATATCGACCACTGAGTTTCTGTACAGCCAAAGAAAGTTTGTCTTACGATAGTGAAACTTCATATTCATGTTATATCTTAAGCTAGATCTAGATCCGCCCTAGTAGATTATGAGAATAAATAGAAACGTAGCCTTAAACTAAAAAAAACCCTCCGGATTTGCAACTTTTACATTGTTTCTGTTTTGAAATTCTATTATTTATACATTTTGTTTTAAAATAATTACTTTTCAAAATAAATTTATCGAGAAAAAATAAATGAAGAAAAAATATAAAATTTAATAAATTATAAATAGACAAATGCGATTCATTTAAAAGTATTTTCGAGTTGTCTCTCCTGACAGTTGCTAGGCAATTGAGCGTAAATCCTCAAGATGGACGACATACTGGAATACACAGGTAGCAGCTACAATGGTGATTATACTAATGGAAGGTAAACAAATAGATATAGATCTAGTTCTTTAAGTTAAAAAATTATTAAAAGTCATATTATTCTTTTGTGCTTGTTTAGTAAATAAATAAATACGAGGTTGTGAGCTGATGATCTATCTCTAGTGGTATCTAACCAAAATTTAAAATTACTAAATGTAAATTGATTGAAATTCCAATAATGGAGACAAGCAAGTTGACGAGATTCCTTCAATAGTGTTGTTGACATGGAATAAAAACGTGCTTTTTAGATTTAGACCATAAAAAAAATAAAAAATAAAAACTTAAGCCTAAAATTAATTTAGAAATTTTATATTTTTAGAATAAATGCTATAAAAGTTGCAAATCCAGAGAACTTGAAAATAATTTGTTGAGTTTAAGGCTACATCTCTATTTATTTTCATCAAGCCTAAGTTATAACCGGATGTTTTGCTTTCGTAAGACTAATATTGATTGGCTGTACAGTAACTTAGTGATCGATAACTATTTGTTTACAAAACTTTGCAGATCAAGTTTTTAAATAACAATGCAAATTTAAAACCCCATGACCTAGTTTTCTATTTTTAGCTTACAATGTGTACAATAAAATTTGTGTCGGCCTATCCAATAGCAGGATGCCATTGTTTATGTCGCCATTACACGTGAAAACCAAATGGTTTTTGCTTTTTTTTTTAATTTTTATTTAGTTACCGAAAATATTAAAAACATCAATTACGTCCAATCTTTAGTAAAGTCCGAAAAAAACCAGACAGACAGGATTTTATAACCATATTAATTGTAACTAGGCCGTGCAAGATTTTTAAATTAATTTATGCACCTCTCAAATACCTTTGAGACTTTTCTCGCTTGTGTCCATTCTGCCTCATCTTATTCATTAATACATTATTCAGTATCCAGTTTCCTCCACCCTCCCCCTGCCCAACTCTTGCTACACAATCTCTCACCATCCATACACTCACACAAACAAACTTACACCCCACACTCATCCCATCAATATATCCTGCCGTCTACCAAATTCTTTCAATCATTTCTCTTCTCCCAAAACTAGCTGGGTGGACTCAGGCTGTACTCACGTACGCTCTACTGACATGAAACCGGATTTAAACTCACAACTTTTGGTTTAGCAGTCTAGCGCTCCACCACTAGGCCATGCTATACAGCTGAGTCCATCCAGCTCTGATGGGTACCTAACTAACGTTATGGAAACTAATGGTGGCTGGTCATAATGCTGACCGTGCTATCTACTTCACTTGTCACTTGCCCTTTGGACTATCAAGTTCAAAACTATAGAAAAAAATCCCCTTCCTCCCCTAAAACATCAGGCAGACATCAATCTCCATCAAGTCCAGATTGGCACCATCCTTAATAAACCATTCATTCACTAAATTGCAAAAGGCAAATAGCCATCATCACGACCCCCACCACCTATACACAGTGAAACTTAGGGTGAAGGGAAATGCTGTCATTTATGGATAGCAGAGCTCAAGGGCAGCCACTCACAGTAAAAAAGATTGTATTCTGTTGACCTTTTACTGGCTGGGTTAACAGGCTGGGAGTCATAGGCTACTTCAGTCAATAAAAGTGGGTCCAGAGCATTGAGGTGGGGTATAAACTAATGTGTGATAAGTGTGCCACTTACCACTTATCGTCCTGCAATCTGACACATGTCTAAGAACACACCCCATATATATGTATATATATATATACACACACACACACACACACACACACACATATATATATATATATATATATATATATATATATATATATATATATATATATATATATATATATATATATATATATATATATATATATATATAAATATGTATATATAAATATTTACCCATTCATGAAATATGCTCACTCCACATCACCATAACAGCAAAGACAAAGTTACTATACCGATAACTGACATAAGATCACACCAAGGGCACACACTGTCCCCATTTATATTAAAGATACATATATTTAACTACAGGCTTATTATATGTAATCTTATAAAGCAAAGGCAAAAATTTACAAAATTAACCAATGACTAGATTCTAATGCTGTATGTTATATTATTTAGATTCTAGATTCTAACTTAAAACAAAATATTTAATATATAAAATATTTTATTTTGTACTTCATTACATTTAAAATTTTTTTATGTCATTTAAGGATGGAAGGGAAAGGGAGATATGGTTTCCCCACTGACACCAGGTATGAGGGGGAGATGAAAGATGGCATGTTTCATGGGAAAGGCTCACTTTTCTTCCCTAATGGAAGTCGTTATGAAGCTATCTGGGAAAATGGAGTTGCCAAAGAGGTAGGTCTCGCAAATCTTGTATCGTCCTGGAAAATGATCGAATTTTAGACATGTTCTGCAGAATATTTTGGCTAGCCCAACAGTTTTGTAGCTTTCATGTGTAATAGTTTATCCTACATCTTGATATTTATCCTATATTTATAGTTTTGTTTAGCTTATTCATAAATATACCACCATACATTTTTGAAGTAAAAACATTTGTAAGTTAAGTTAGCTCATGCATTAAAGGACACCTATTCGACAGTAAACCATTATTTATCAAAGTATAGACTAAAAACAATAATTACTATAAATTGAAGAAGGAAATATATTTTAATAATAATCAAGTAAAATGCTTTGTGGCTTTCAAAATGTATTTACTTTGTTATCAAAGGGTAAATACACCTTTGCTGATGGGCTTATGTATGAGGAAGAGGACTGGAAGTATTGTGATGGCTATGACAGGAGGTTTTACACAGAAATTACTGGAAACCTCAGACCTGCTGGTAGGTTTTACTTTAACCTTTAGCAATGAGCTGTTGTGTTGATAGTGTACTCATTTTGTCTTGTATGATGGGTTTAAATTTTTTTGGTAGGTTTTGGTAAAATCTTCTTTAGTGAGCTGTTATATTGATGCTAGAAATTTGTATTCTGGCTGAGCAGTTTAAGGCCTTCAACAGCAACCTGAAACATTGCTAGAGCATTTGAACACTTGTATTACTTGTATACAAATCTGTTATGGTGTTGTGAGGTTATTAGCTTAGCAAATGTTGTTTAATAAGTGTTACTTTATGTATTGTTTGTTTATTTCCCAAATAGATTATGGCTTCGTAATTATATAATTAGGAAAAAAGCCAATAATAATTGATATAATTTAGTTGTAGTAGTTCTCAAGATAGACAACTTAACTCTGGATATGAATGGATAGTGTGGGAAAAACTATACCCAGCTGCCTTTACTTTTCCTAACACATGTTAGGTACCCATCAGAGCTGGACTATCTCAGGGAAGTTCCATAACAAACCCAGATTCGAACTTGAGACTTAATAATTGATTAATGTAGTTGTAGTAGTTGTCGATTTAACCCAGTTAGCCTTGTTATTGTGCATGGTTATGTTGAATTCATGTCAAGAGTAAATTTTATTGATTGTATTAAGTTATACATTATGTTGTGTGTATTATGTGTGTACTCTATATGAACTTCTACTATCAGAAACTGTAAGAGATGATATATAAACATAATCGCAACAAATGCTAGCTGTGTTTGTTAATGTAAGCACGGCATCACTTACTGATACAATTCTCCTCAGGTCATGAGTCATTAGTCAATAACGAACCCAGGCACGTAATCCCTGAAGGACATTATGATTGTGGGGATGGCTTCTACAATCCTAAAACCAGAGTTGTCGTTGATTACAATCTTAAATTTTTGCGAAATGCAGGTGAGTTTTATAAAAATTTTAGTTTTTCAACCACCACTGTTAAGACTATACAGTGTTACTTGTATTGCAGTATTTCTGCAGGCGTGGGGTAGGATTAGGGTCAGGGCTATAGTTTGATCACACAAAATATAACTTTGATACCTTGTGCCATCATTGATAGAAATACTAAATTATCCTATCTATTAATGTTTTCAAAAAGCTGTCCTATCTGGCAATGGAACAAATAACTTGAATAAATATGTAGCATTGACAACTATTAGAAAAGCATGTCCTTTATAGTGTATATTAAACACCATGCAATTCACTTACTCAAATAAGACATCTGGCTATATAGGTATCATCTGTTGGCTAATACATATTGAATCTGTCATTTGATTGAAACCTGTACCCAGACACTATGCATGTAAAATCTTAAAATGGTTTAGACCATACGCATGTGTTCTATTTCAATACTTTCAAAACATTTAGTGAATGGATGATATGCATATGTCTGGTTCACCTCATCACTAAACTAGCCACAGCATAGACCTGCTGATGTTGATATCAACCATGATAGGGAATACAATTTGATCTATCCGATTCTTTTTCTTCCACCTTCTCTAATCAGAGTTTCTTCCAGGGGGCAGAGCCCTCCTAAAGAGAGTCTACCACCCCCGAACAAAATGGAATTCATGTAGAAAAAAAAATTATACTTTTAACAGAAATTTTAGTCCGCCCCCCGAAAATTTCAAGTTCCCCCACCCCTCCCAGAGAAAAAATTCTGGAAGAAACACTGTCTCTAATAGAGTTCTTTTTATTAAATATAAACAAAATGTATTCTTCATACTTTTGTTTTTCTAGAGATATTGTTAGATTTTAAATTTGTAAACATATCTTCTCATTATTTTATTTTTGATACATTACATATACATTATAATTTTTGTGGCTAATAATAATGCTTAATGCATAGGATACATAGTTGTATTTTTCTAGAAACTTATTTACATCCTTTAAACAAAAACTGTATTTTAAACTTGAGTAATAACAGGATATTAAGTTGTATTGAACTTTTTTGTTATCTACATTTAAAAAAAAAGCTACAATCAAACAACGATTGGCTATTAAGTTTTATTACAAAGTATTTACAGTTTCTAAATAAAATGTATCATCATCATCTTTTCCTGTTCATTCCCAAAACACAGCGCAGATGAAGAAGAGCTCATCTGTTTCAGAGACCTCGGCAGTTGAAAGGATAGTGTGGTCCCAGCCTTGTTTGTTTTCCCTGAGATAGTTGCCCATCAAAGCTGGGTGGACTCAGGGATGTTCTAAGACTTGAATCTGGATTTGAACTTGAGACTTTTGGTTTAACAGACTAACTTTCTACTGCTAGACCATGCCATCCCATAAAAAAAAAAAATTATGATTAAATTAATTTTTGTTTTCCAGATGAGGATGAGCACAACTGGATAATAAAAACTTGCCTCAAGGGATGGGATGAATACATTGGTTTCACACCTAAAATTACAGCCTAGCCTAGTCAGATCAGAATATTATTTTGTACATACATGTTTTATGCAGAACATTTTTATACTTTACTTACAGTGGAACAATGCTCGGAAGTTTTAGAATCTAAACTTTGTGTCATAAGTTTTACATTTTGGATGTTGGTTTCTAGTCTGGAATTGTAAGAAGGATAATAATCTTTTATTGATTTATATTATGTTTTAAAAGTAGGCTAATATGTGCTGAATTTATTTCTGTAATACTCTAAATTTACTTTTAACTTAACAAGGCTCTAAGCTAACATTAGATGAATGAATAGAATACTGTGGTGGTACACTTCTCCTAAAAGCTGAGCCAAGATTAAGGTCACAATATGACCTAGGTTCAAGGTCATTAGTAGAAATGGTTCAGTTCTAATTATTTCCTAGAAGCCAAATTCATTTTCACAGTCTTTTGAGAAGAAATATAAATAAAAGCATAAAATAATTCAATTCTATAGGCCTATTCAATATGTAATACAAAATACCTTCTATTTTAATAAACTTGATAAAAATCTGTTTAAATATTTTGAGAACCATCAAACTCTACATGTAACACAACTAAAGTAATAAAATTAAAACACTGAAAATAGCAAGCTTATGACTTAAATTATTATAAAATTTGAAAGCATTGTTGCAGTTTGTACAACTATTGTTATTTATGTTCATGCTTTGATTTAACTGTTAAAATATTAATCTAATGAAAGTTTGTTGTGTTTTGGCTGTTATGATTCTCATGAAGCTGACAACAAACAATTTTTTTTGTTTTTCTATAATTAAGTGGTTAAAAAAAAAAGAAGTGCAGTTTTTCTCACTAAGATACGCAAGTGATTAAAAATTTTAAAACTAGTTGTAGCTAAAACGAGAGAAAAATAATACTAGTTCCTTCTTTTATTTAGTAGTAAATTTTAAAATTGAACCACCATTTTTTTGTAGAGCAAAGGAAAAAAAGCTGGTAGACTTTGTAGGACTTCATATAGACGTACTTTCTGACATATGTAGTTGAATGTTCAACCACTAACCCATTGTGGTTTTGTTGTGCACACTGACCCCTTCACCCCCCACCCCCACAGGCCAACAAACAGATGTTAGCAAATTAGACCTTAATATTGAATTAAGTATTATTCCTGCTTTTAAAATTCTCTGAATATCGGTGCATTATTTTAATTCTCAAATTATTTAAAATATGTTTTTATGTTGATGTTTGAATAAACTGAATGAACAAAATTTATATTTGTATTTGTATTGCTATATGTTTCATTTTTATAATTATAATTGATTATGATCAAGAGAAATTATTGTTAATAATTTTTTTGCACTAAAAGTTTATTTCTCAAAAGTGAGTCATAATAACTGTTTTGAACTTGTTTACTTATTCATATAAGATGTAAACCTACAGGCGTTGCTAGGAGGTCACTTTACAGTAAACATAACCCTTGTTTGTTCCCTGAAGCTTAACCCTTTCATGTGGCTTAAAATTGTCATGGCATATTTTGCTAATTGGGAAGAATTGAATTGTATAAATCTTTAGTTTTGTTTGCTCTTTTTTTTTCCGGTCAACCTAGCCACCCTAGCACATACTGCGGTACAAGACGTGTTAGATAGGAAAAGGAATGCAGATATGAAAATAGGCAGGGTGAAACCCACAGCATCAACTAAGGTTGTCACAGCAGCTACTGTTTACATTTAAACACACAGACATATACACAAGTGCACATTCATGCTTAAACACACACACACTCTTATATATATATGTATATATATATATATATATATATATATATATATATATATATATATATATATATATATATATATATATATATATAATTATGTATTTGTTTATATAGCCTATATGTAAATATTTGTTTGTATGTGTACCATAAATATAAATATATAAATAAATAGGCTATATGTGTAAATAGCATATGCAAATATATATGTACTAGCTTTGCTACGGTAATAGAAATTACAAATCACTCTCATGGAATATACCTATATACACAATATAGATGTATATATATATATGTAAATATATATGCGACTATAGCTGTTTTTATATTATTGTATATTCGAACTGTCTTAGTAGCCCCTGTCCTCTGTCACCTAGTATGACCTTGTGAATTTAGCTTTGGTAATTTTATTCTTGTTTTACAATTTTCTTTTGCTCACTCACATTCAAGGTAGGGACTTCATTGGCTAGGGTTTGTAGCCTACACCCGGCCCCATTTTGTGATACTGGTCACGTCATTAACTTTTCTAATTTTTCTAATTAAGTTAATCAGTTTCAATGCTAAAAAAGAAATGTTTGACTAGCACTACACAACCATTCAAATGAGACACACGTACCATATGTTATGTGAATTTTAATTATATTCAGTTTAAATGTGTACATCTCAATACAAATACATACGTAAACTGTTGCACGTTTTCTAATAGACTCAACAATACCTTCAAAAATTTAGATATCTTCCATGTTTTGCAATTGAATCAGTCCCAATAAGATAAATGCGTTGATGCAATTTGATCAAGATTGATTTTATGGGTTATATCATGACCTATAGAATAAACCCGGTAAGATCTAATTCCTGAAGTGTGTAGTCCGATGCTGCATAGACCTTGTCAAACGGAATCCCTCTAATAAGATCTAATTTCTTGTATTCCTATCTAACATGGATATATTCAAAAGTAATCACCCTTGAACAGATCTATTTCCTAAAGTGTGTAGGCCCATCGTGTAACATAGACCTAGTCAAACGAAATCCAGCTGATAAAATCTACTTCCTAAAACCTGTATGTCACATTGACCTGATATAGCTTGTATGTCACATTGACCTGATAAAATCTACTTCCTACAGCCTGTATGTCACATACACCTGATAAAATCTACTTTCTAAAGCCTGTATGTCACATACACCTGATAAAATCTACTTCCTAAAGCCTGTATGTCACATTGACCTGATATAGCTTGTATGTCACACTGACCTGATAAAATCTACTTCCTACAGCCTGTATGTCACATACACCTGATAAAATCTACTTTCTAAAGCCTGTATGTCACATACACCTGATAAAATCTACTTCCTAAAGCCTGTATGTCACATTGACCTGATAAAATCTACTTCCTAAAGCCTGTATGTCACATTGACCTGATAAAATCTACTTCCTAAAGCCTGTATGTCACATACACCAGATACAAATCTACTTCCTACAGCCTGTATGTCACATACACCTGATAAAATCTACTTCCTAAAGCCTGCATGTCACATACACCTGATAAAATCTACTTCCTAAAGCCTGTATGTCACATACACCAGATATAACCTGTATGTCACATACACCTGATAAAATCTACTTCCTATAGCATGTATGTCACATACACCAGATAAAATCTACTTCCTAAAGCCTGTATGTCACATACACCTGATAAAATCTACTTCCTATAGCCTGTATGTCACATACACCTGATAAAATCTACTTCCTAAAGCCTGTATGTCACATAGACGTGATATAGCCTGTATGTCACATAGACTTGATATAGCCTGTATGTCACATACACCTGATAAAATATACTTCCTAAAGCCTGTATGTCACATACACCAGATAAAATCTACTTCCTAAAGCCTGTATGTCACATACACCTGATAAAATCTACTTCCTAAAGCCTGTATGTCACATACACCTGATAAAATCTACTTCCTAAAGCCTGTATGTCACATACACCAGATAAAATCTACTTCCTAAAGCCTATATGTCACATACACCTGATAAAATCTACTTCCTAAAGCCTGTATGTCACATACACCTGATATAGCCTGTATGTCACATTGACCTGATACAATCTACTTCCTACAGCCTGTATGTCACATACACCTGATAAAGCCTGTATGTCACATACACCTGATAAAATCTACTTCCTACAGCCTGTATGTCACATACACCAGATAAAATCTACTTCCTAAAGCCTGTATGTCACATACACCTGATAAAATCTACTTCCTAAAGCCTGTATGTCACATAGACCGGGTCACCCACATTGATGTCACCCTCCTGAATGACCTTGGCCAACACGCCGTAACTGGCATTGTAGCATGAAGCCGGCAGGGTGATCAGCTGACCCAGAGGCTTGAAGTACTCAACCTGGTACCTCCAGTCTTGGTTGACCACGTCAAAATTTTGTTGGATGAAGCTAGAAAGTAGAAGGATAAGTCAAAAGTTTGTTGGATGAAGCTAGAAAGTAGAAAGATAAGTCAAAATTTTGTTGGATGAAGCTAGAAAGTAGAAAAATAAGTCAACATTTTGTTGGATGAAGCTAGAAAGTAGAAGGATAAGTCAAAAGTTTGTTGGATGAAGCTAGAAAGTAGAAAGATAAGTCAAAATTTTGTTGGATGAAGCTAGAAAGTAGAAAGATAAGTCAAAATTTTGTTGGATGAAGCTAGAAAGTAGAAAGATAAGTCAAAATTTTGTTGGATGAAGCTAGAAAGTAGAAAGATAAGTCAAAATTTTGTTGGATGAAGCTAGAAAGTAGAAGGATGTTTTAGATGACAGGTGGGCATGTAATGATACATTAAGTGCAGAGTTTCTTCCAGGCATCTCTTCGGAAGGCTTAATCCCCCCCCCCTCCCGGAAAAAAATTCTTCCGCCCCCCCCGAAAGAAATGAAATTTATATAATTTATATAGAAAATATATACTTTTAACAGCGTCGGCCACCCCGAAAAAAGTCTGCCCCCCCCCCCCGAAAAATATCAAGTGCCCCCCCACCCCCCGGAGAAAAAAGTCTTAAAGAAACACTGATTAAGTGGCAAGTTATTCTAGGCACATGTTTAAGTAGGGCTGTTCGTTGTGTGCAAAGGCGCATCTCTAGGGTTGCCAGGTGTCCAGTTTTAAACTAAACAGTCCAGTATTTGCGCAGACTGTCCAGGAGAAAATAAATATAAATACTGGACAAGTATGTTTTACCCCCCTTCTTCTGCTTTGCGGCATACCTGAGAAGGGAAGGATGGAAAGGTGTCCAGTATTTTCGGAAAATGTATCTGGCAACCCTACGCATCTCAGTAGTTACACCTCATCAGACGTAGAATAGGAATTAAGGCCTTGGTCTCTTTATATATATATATATATATATATATATATATATATATATATATATATATATATATATATATATATATATATATATAAAGACAATAATATGTATGAGTATTCGGATACCTATACAGTTTTTGCATCTTGCCCAACATTTGATTGACTTACATTCAAGTCTGTTTTTCAGGTTTGTTATGATATTTAAATTTCAGCAACCCTTCCCCCCACCACCATAGCATCACAATCAGAAAAAAAACTAGCCAATTATCTTGTCCCATTCCCCCCCCCCCCCCCCCCACTAGTAAACACTATCCCAGTAACAAAGTTGTTCGATCTCCATAAAGTACCGAAAAACAGCGCTTAGAAAGACGTTAGACTAATTACCGTGCATCAGGTGAAAGCACCGAGAAAACAGCGTCGCCTATGCGAATGTTTTCCCATTGGCCTTCGTCCAGTGGTTCACTATTAGCGATGACAATGTTGGGGCGGAAAAATTCCATCGACACCGGTGTGGTGAATTTGAACTGAAATTTTACATAAGTGACGTTCATATAGAAAAAAAAGAGAATTGATTATTAACTTGTCAAGAAACTCAATAGTTTAAATATAAAAAATAAACCGGGAGTGATCTCCCCTAAACTTTCTCGAATATTCTTATATAAAATAACAGGGGATGGGAACTCGGGCTATAGACATGATTTTTAATCCATTTTAAATACTTAAAGTTTTAAAAATAGAATAAAATCTCGAAGACAAATTAATTGCACACCAAGTGAACGCCAAATAAAAAAGCGCATAATAGTGCGCAATATTATTAGTACTTTTAAAATTTACATTAGTTTTTTGAGAAATCGAAAGTAGCGTAAAGTACTACTTCCAGTGAACGGAAATTACTCAAAATTTAACAGAAGGTAGAGAATTAGATCTTTTACTTACATGTGAAATTTCATTTATCTATCTGAAATAGTACTCAAGTTATAGGCTTTTGAAAAATTCAAAGTAGGAAAAGTACCACTTCCGGTTATCGGAAATCGCTCAAAAGTTGATACGGATCTACGATTTTGATAAAATACTTATATATGAAATTTCATCCACCTAGCTGTAACGGTACTCAAGTTATCGTGTTTACACACGGACAGACACACAGACACACACACACACAGACATACGGACAAGATTGCAAAATTATGTTTTTTCCGTATCAGTGAGGTGTAAAACGTCGAGATTTGCAAAAATCTCGATTTTTTTTTTGCACGATTACAATACTTTCTCTATACTTCGTATATACGAGAAAGTAAAAATGGAGAAAATATAATTAATAATTTAAATTAATTAATGCGTCACGAGCCTCTATACAAAATTGTGTTATGGTGGTCTTTCTTCTTCTTCTTCTTCGTTCTTAATTTTTAGTATTGGGAAGGATCGAGCCTTATCTGCCAGAGGGTTTGAGCTCGAGACTTTTTTCGAATTTATCAACCATGAGCTTTGCCGACTCGACCATGCTTTCATCACAATTAAGGATTACGTGTCAACTGGTTTTGCGCCATTGAGGCCATTGACTCCGGTTTCAGCCTGCTTTTCTTTTTGGATTTGCTTCCATAGCCTTTGTCTAACCAAAAACAAATCCATTCCAACATTTAAAATTATGAACGAAGAAGAAGGAGAAAAGCAATTTATTTTTATGAATTTTACATTATTTAGAAACTGTTTAATAGAAAATGATTAACATTGACTAAAACATTTAAAATCATCTCTAGGTGAAATCTATCGGAATATTACTTTAATGATCTATATATAGCCGACTCAGTGGCGTCGCTAGGTCGGGTATCACCCGGTGCGGCACTTTGCGGTATCACCCCCCCAAGAAACAAAGTATATATTTATATATATATATATATATATATATATATATATATATATATATATATATATATATATATATATATATATATATATGTGTGTGTGTGTGTGTGTGTGTGTGTCGACCTACATAGGCTTATAATTTAAATATATGCCGCATAATTAATCACTAATGCAACTGGCAAAAAGCATTTTTCTTCTTAACAATTTGCAATTCTTCGCCATGGTTTCATCCCCCTAAATGGTGTCACCCGGTGCAGTCCGCACCCCCCGCCCCGCCCTCGCAACGCCTCTGAGTCGACTTCAAGTTTAAGATTCTAACAACAAATCCAGTTGAGTGAAAAACAAATATTATTAACTCTATCATTCATGGAAGCAACAATTCTACTTCCGGTTAGACTCACATGGTCATTGAGGGATTCTACGGAGCTCTCAGTGGCGAAGACGTAGACGGAATGCCGATAGTTCTTATTTGTGTGACTGTGCCGTTGGCTTGTGGTGAAGAAGGTCAGACCCTCCTCTTCCAAACAATCGTCCAGCCATTTGTTGATCTCGCCAGCTGTTGAATCAGTGACCCACACATTTAGTGCTGGAGTCTTTCTGATATATATATATATATATATATATATATATATATATATATATATATATATATATATATATATATATATATATATATATATATATATATATATATATATATATATATATATATATATACTTGGCCAAAGCCCGAAGAGCTTAACACTGAGATTGTATTTCGCACATTGTCCGGCCAATGCGCGCACTGGCCGGGACGTACTGGACAAAGTCTGAAGCGCTTAAACTTGAAAACGTATTTCGTAAGTTGGCCGGCCAATGCGCGCACTGGCCGGGATATCCTGGCCAACGTTCTATCTAGCCTTAGTTGTGATAGCATTTTCATTATTCTGGGTGCGGTTTCATTGTGAGTAACGCATTGTTCGGCTCTTGTTTGTATAGCATTCTATATGCAATGCGACATGGACCAAAGGACCGTCAGACCATGAGACAGACATACGAGATGGCTGCCAAAATATTTCTGAACTAAAGGAAATGTGGCCTGAAATTAAAATAGTCACGGAAGAGTTAAGTGTCCAAACAAGGCTTCGTATGGCGGTTGTTGGATTCCTTGATGAGAGACTCTCAGCCCAATTAGCTAATTCATTTGTCTGCATCCATGTCATCATCACTTAACTCTTCAAATCTACCAAGAGAGGCTCTCGATAATTTATTTACTTAGGAAGATCTTGAGAACTTTGAACAAGAAATGCAACGACTTCCTCAGCTAACACATATGCTGCCGTGGCGGAACGTCCTGACCGGTTGCGTTATAATAATAAGGCCAACAGATTATGTGTAGTTTGTGAAAAATATTGTAGTGCAGCCCATTCTTGTGGATCCTGTGGCAACGATGTCCATGCAATTTGCTGAATAACCAATGAAGCAGACGAATCGAACGGAGGGAAAATTACTTGCAGATTATGTCACAATAAACAAGAAATCATAGACACCAGTTTAGCAGCTCATACTGGCTTGCAAACTCAATGTGCTAAGATGCTAACAAAATCAGATACACATTTTAAACAAGCTGAAGTGGGAGATAATGTTCGCATCCGTATATCAGATGTTGACAGGGTCGCGGTGATGCCCGATGCGTCATAGCAGTTGTCATGAGCGTCGAGGGCGCTTTCTACAAGCTAGGAACGCAACATGGTGTTCTTAAACAATTGTATGCTAGTCCGGGTGGCACTGAGAAAAAATCACTACGAACCATCGCATCTTCACAATCACTGACCGACGGCCAAGGCTACACTCGCTGCAATTGCACAACCAAGTGCACAACAAATCGCTGCATGTGTAAAAAATAACAAGCTACTATGTAATTGTAAATGCCAAAAAAGTTCAACTTATTGTAACAAATGATAATATTAATTGAGACTATAGTACAGTAAAATAATTTGAATGTTTCTGCCATTTACTTTAATTAATCTATATATATAAAGCAAAGTGGTCAGGTGCCCGATAGGGCACTTCCCGGCGCCGCAGGCGCGTCGAATTTGGCACGATGGTGCCTTGGGGCGATAGAACACGAGGGCCGGTGACGGTTGGCCGAAAAGTCTACGGAGAAGGGGTCAAAACTGACCTCGACTGACCGGCGCCTTATATGAGCTATATTACGATAAAAAATTTCCTCCGACGACCCCCCTTGAAATTTGTGAGGTGGTAGGAGAACGCCTTTGGGTGTCACAAAAAACTCGCCATGTCCGGGAAAATTCGTTAAATGGGTCAAAACTGACAAGTCGTATTTCCCTATATAATCTTTGTATTTTATGGGAAAAACAGAGGGTGATTTCAAAACGGATTTTAGGGCACTTACCCACTTTACATCTGGCTAATTTTTTGCATGCTCTTAGGTAAATGGCTTGACCTTTAGGGAAATCTGTCGGTTTCACTCAAAGCCCTCGACGAGGGCTAAAAAGTGACCGCGAGTGAAATTCTCTTAATATGAGCTCTATTACGAAAATAAATTTCCTCCGACGACCCCCCTTGAAATTTTGTGAGGTGGTAGGAGAACGCCTTTGGGTGTCACAAAAAACTCGCCATGTCCGGGAAAATTCGTTAAATGGGTCAAAACTGACCAGTCGTATTTCCCTATATAATCTTTGTATTTTATGGGAAAAACAGAGGGTGATTTCAAAACGGATTTTAGGGCACTTACCCACTTTACATCTGGCTAATTTTTTGCATGCTCTTAGGTAAATGGCTTGACCTTTAGGTAAAACTGTCGGTTTCACTCAAAGCCCTCGACGAGGGCTAAAATGTGACCGCGAGTGAAATTCTCTTTATATGAGCTCTATTACGAAAAAAATTTTCTTCTGACGACCCCCCTTGAAATTTTGTGAGGTGGTAGGAGAACGCCTTTGGGTGTCACAAAAAACTCGCCATGTCCGGGAAAATTCTTTAAATGGGTCAAAACTGACCAGTCGTATTTCCCAATATAATCTTTGTATTTTATGGGAAAAACAGAGGGTGATTTCAAAACGGATTTTAGGGCACTTACCCACTTTACATCTGGCTAATTTTTTGCATGCTCTTAGGTAAATGGCTTGACCTATAGGGAAAACTGTCGGTTTCACTCAAAGCCCTCGACGAGGGCTAAAAAGTGACCGCGAGTGAAATTCTCTTTATATGAGCTCTATTACGAAAAAAAATTTCCACCGACGACCCCCCTTGAAATTTTGTGAGGTGGTAGGAGAACGCTTTGGGGTGTCACAAAAAACTCGCCATGTCCGGGAAAATTCGTTAAATGGGTCAAAACTGACCAGTCGTATTTCCCTATATAATCTTTGTATTTTATGGGAAAAACAGAGGGTGATTTCAAAACGGATTTTAGGGCACTTACACACTTTACATCTGGCTAATTTTTTGCATGCTCTTAGGTAAATGGCTTGACCTTTAGGGAAATCTGTCGGTTTCACTCAAAGCCCTCGACGAGGGCTAAAAAGTGACCGCGAGTGAAATTCTCTTTATATGAGCTCTATTACGAAAAAAAATTTCCTCCGACGACCCCCCTTGAAATTTTGTGAGGTGGTAGGAGAACGCCTTGGGGTGTCACAAAAAACTCGCCATGTTCGGGAAAATTCGTTAAATGGGTCAAAACTGACAAGTCGTATTTCCCTATATAATCTTTGTATTTTATGGGAAAAACAGAGGGTGATTTCAAAACGGATTTTAGGGCACTTACCCACTCTACATCTGGCTAAAGTTTTGCATGCTCTTAGGTAAATGGCTTGACCTTTGGTGAAAACTGTCGGTTTCACTTAAAGCCCTCGACGAGGGCTAAAAAGTGACCGCGAGTGAAATTCTCTTTATATGAGCTCTATTACGAAAAAAAAAATTCCTCCGACGACCCCCCTTGAAATTTTGTGAGGTGGTAGGAGAACGCCTTGGGGTGTCACAAAAAACTCGCCATGTCCGGGAAAATTCGTTAAATGGGTCAAAACTGACCAGTCGTATTTCCCTATATAATCTTTGTATTTTATGGGAAAAACAGAGGGTGATTACAAAACGGATTTTAGGGCACTTACCCACTTTACATCTGGCTAATTTTTTGCATGCTCTTAGGTAAATGGCTTGACCTTTAGGGAAAACTGTCGGTTTCATTCAAAGCCCTTGACGAGGGCTAAAAAGTGACCGCGAGTGAAATTCTCTTTATATGAGCTCTATTACGAAAAAAAATTTCCTCCGACGACCCCCCTTGAAATTTTGTGAGGTGGTAGGAGAACGCCTTGGGGTGTCACAAAAAACTCGCCATGTCCGGGAAAATTCGTTTAATGGGTCAAAACTGACCAATCGTATTTCCCTATATAATCTTTGTATTTTATGGGAAAAACAGAGGGTGATTTCAAAACGGATTTTAGGGCACTTACCCACTTTACATCTGGCTAATTTTTTGCATGCTCTTAGGTAAATGGCTTGACCTTTAGGGAAATCTGTCGGTTTCACTCAAAGCCCTCGACGAGGGCTAAAAAGTGACCGCGAGTGAAATTCTCTTAATATGAGCTCTATTACGAAAATAAATTTCCTCCGACGACCCCCCTTGAAATTTTGTGAGGTGGTAGGAGAACGCCTTTGGGTGTCACAAAAAACTCGCCATGTCCGGGAAAATTCGTTAAATGGGTCAAAACTGACAAGTCGTATTTCCCTATATAATCTTTGTATTTTATGGGAAAAACAGAGGGTGATTTCAAAACGGATTTTAGGGCACTTACCCACTTTACATCTGGCTAATTTTTTGCATGCTCTTAGGTAAATGGCTTGACCTTTAGGGAAATCTGTCGGCTTCACTCAAAGCCCTCGACGAGGGCTAAAAAGTGACCGCGAGTGAAATTCTCTTAATATGAGCTCTATTACGAAAATAAATTTCCGACGACGACCCCCCTTGAAATTTTGTGAGGTGGTAGGAGAACGCCTTTGGGTGTCACAAAAAACTCGCCATGTCCGGGAAAATTCGTTAAATGGGTCAAAACTGACCAGTCGTATTTCCCTATATAATCTTTGTATTTTATGGGAAAAACAGAGGGTGATTTCAAAACGGATTTTAGGGCACTTACCCATTTTACATCTGGCTAATTTTTTGCATGCTCTTAGGTAAATGGCTTGACCTTTAGGTAAAACTGTCGGTTTCACTCAAAGCCCTCGACGAGGGCTAAAATGTGACCGCGAGTGAAATTCTCTTTATATGAGCTCTATTACGAAAAAAATTTTCTTCTGACGACCCCCCTTGAAATTTTGTGAGGTGGTAGGAGAACGCCTTTGGGTGTCACAAAAAACTCGCCATGTCCGGGAAAATTCTTTAAATGGGTCAAAACTGACCAGTCGTATTTCCCAATATAATCTTTGTATTTTATGGGAAAAACAGAGGGTGATTTCAAAACGGATTTTAGGGCACTTACCCACTTTACATCTGGCTAATTTTTTGCATGCTCTTAGGTAAATGGCTTGACCTTTAGGGAAAACTGTCGGTTTCACTCAAAGCCCTCGACGAGGGCTAAAAAGTAACCGCGAGTGAAATTCTCTTTATATGAGCTCTATTACGAAAAAAAATTTCCACCGACGACCCCCCTTGAAATTTTGTGAGGTGGTAGGAGAACGCTTTGGGGTGTCACAAAAAACTCGCCATGTCCGGGAAAATTCGTTAAATGGGTCAAAACTGACCAGTCGTATTTCCCTATATAATCTTTGTATTTTATGGGAAAAACAGAGGGTGATTTCAAAACGGATTTTAGGGCACTTACCCACTTTACATCTGGCTAATTTTTTGCATGCTCTTAGGTAAATGGCTTGACCTTTAGGGAAATCTGTCGGTTTCACTCAAAGCCCTCGACGAGGGCTAAAAAGTGACCGCGAGTGAAATTCTCTTTATATGAGCTCTATTACGAAAAAAAATTTCCTCCGACGACCCCCCTTGAAATTTTGTGAGGTGGTAGGAGAACGCCTTGGGGTGTCACAAAAAACTCGCCATGTTCGGGAAAATTCGTTAAATGGGTCAAAACTGACAAGTCGTATTTCCCTATATAATCTTTGTATTTTATGGGAAAAACAGAGGGTGATTTCAAAACGGATTTTAGGGCACTTACCCACTCTACATCTGGCTAAAGTTTTGCATGCTCTTAGGTAAATGGCTTGACCTTTGGGGAAAACTGTCGGTTTTACTTAAAGCCCTCGACGAGGGCTAAAAAGTGACCGCGAGTGAAATTCTCTTTATATGAGCTCTATTACGAAAAAAAAATTCCTCCGACGACCCCCCTTGAAATTTTGTGAGGTGGTAGGAGAACGCCTTGGGGTGTCACAAAAAACTCGCCATGTCCGGGAAAATTCGTTAAATGGGTCAAAACTGACCAGTCGTATTTCCCTATATAATCTTTGTATTTTATGGGAAAAACAGAGGTTGATTACAAAACGGATTTTAGGGCACTTACCCACTTTACATCTGGCTAATTTTTTGCATGCTCTTAGGTAAATGGCTTGACCTTTAGGGAAAACTGTCGGTTTCATTCAAAGCCCTTGACGAGGGCTAAAAAGTGACCGCGAGTGAAATTCTCTTTATATGAACTCTATTACGAAAAAAAATTTCCTCCGACGACCCCCCTTGAAATTTTGTGAGGTGGTAGGAGAACGCCTTGGGGTGTCACAAAAAACTTGCCATGTCCGGGAAAATTCGTTTAATGGGTCAAAACTGACCAATCGTATTTACCTATATAATCTTTGTATTTTATGGGAAAAACAGAGGGTGATTTCAAAACGGATTTTAGGGCACTTACCGTCTTAACATCTGGCTAATTTTTTGTATACATCTCTATAGATGACTACGCCGTATGGAAAAACTGTTGGTCAGACATAAAGCCCTCTAAGAGGGCTAAAAATAACTGCGAAGGAAATTCTCACTATACGAGATTTGGTCACTTGGTCTATGAACAGGGGAGGTAACGTTTTAATGTAATAACTTAAATATTTTGTATATTTTTTCAAGAAAAGAAACAAAAATCATAAAGTATAGCATTGTTTTAAATAAATATTTTGTTATAAATTAAGTTTTGCATTGTACTGAAATTGTAAAAATTAATTGCGAAAGTAATTTATTATAATATTTGATTGATACTATTAAGAAACCCTTTGCAGTTCTAATTACCGTGCGAGCAATACGTTTGCGAATATTCCATCAATATTTGTGTTACATGTAATTACTCAACTGTATAAATTTAGGCCCTAAGGATTTAACATAGCAGCCAATCACCTATTAATTAATCATTCAATTCCTCCATTTTTTTGAAAACCTAAGCGAAGCTAGGCAGTATGCCTAGTATATATATAAAGCAAAGTTGTCAAGTGCCCCATAGGGCATTTCCCGCCGCCGCAGGCGCGTCAAATTTGGCACGATGGTGCCTTGGGGCAATAGAACACGAGGGCCGGTGACGGTTGGCCGAAAAGTCGACGGAGAGGGGGTCAAAACTGACCTCGACTGACCGGCGCCTTATATGGGCTATATTACGAAAAAAAATTTCCTCCGACGACCCCCCTTGATATTTTGTGAGGTGGTAGGAGAAAGCCTTGGGGTGTCACAAAAAACTCGCCATGTCCGGGAAAACTTCGTAAAGTGGTCAAAACTGACCAGTCGTATTTCCCTATATAATCTTTGTATTTTATGAGAAAAACAGAGGGTGATTTCAAAACGGATTTTAGGGCACTTACCCTCTTTACATCTGGCTAATTTTCGGCATGTTTATAGGTAAATGGCTTGGCCGTACGGCTAACCTGTCAGTTTCACTCAAAGCCCTCGACGAGAGCTAAAAAGTGCCCGCGAGTGAAATTCTCTTCATATGAGCTTTATTACGAAAAAAAATTTCCTCCGACGACCCCCCTTGAAATTTTGTGAGGTGGTAGTAGAACGTCTTGGGGTGTCACAAAAAACTCACCATGTCTGGGAAAAATCGGGAAATGGGTCAAAACTGACCAGTCGTATTTCCCTATATTATCTTTGTATTTTATGGGGAAAACAGAGGGTCAAATCAAAACGAATTTTAGGACTTTTACCCTCTTTACATCTGGCTAAGTTTTTGCATACTCTTTGGAAAATGGCTTGACCTTTAGGGAAAACTGTCGGTTTCACTCAAGCCCTCGAAGAGGGCTAAAAAGTGACCGCGAGTGAAATTCTCTTTATATGAGCTCTATTACGAAAAAAAAATTCCTCCGACGACCCCCCTTAAAATTTTGTGAGGTGGTAGAAGAACGCCTAGGGGTGTCACAAAAAACTCGGCATATCTGGGAAAACTTCGTAAAGGGGTCAAAACTGACCAGTTGTATTTACCTATATAATCTTTGTATTTTATGGGAAAAACAGAGGGTCATTTCAACGCAGACTTTAGGGTACTTAAACTCAGTATATCTGGCTAATTGTTTGCATACTCTTAGGACAATGGCGTGACCTTTAGGGAAAACTGTCGGTTTCACTCAAAGCCCTCGACGAGGGCTAAAATGTGACCGCGAGTGAAATTCTCTTTATATGAGCTCTATTACGAAAAAAAAATTCCTCCGACGACCCCCCTTGAAATTTTGTGAGGTGGTAGGAGAATGCCTTGGGGTGTCACAAAAAACTCGCCATGTCCGGGAAAAATCGGGAAATGGGTCAAAACTGACCAGTCGTATTTCCCTATATAATCTTTGCATTTTATGGGGAAAACAGGGTAATTTCTACACAAATTGTAGGGTACTTACTCTTCGTATAACTGGCTAATGTTTTGCATACACCTCTATAGATGACTGGGCCGTATGAAAAAACTGTTGGTCAGCATCAAAGCCCTCGAAGAGGGCTAAAAATGAATGCGATTGAAATTCTCATTATACGAGATTCGGTGATTTGGTCTATGAGCAGGGGAGGTAACTTTTTAATGTAACAATTTTTAATATTTTGCATACTCTTTTTAAGAAAAAACAAAAATCATAAAGTGTAGCATTGTTGTAAATGGATATTTTGTTATAAATTAAGTTTTGTATTGTATTGAAATTGTAAAATTAATTGCAAAAGTAATTTTATATAATATTTGATTGATCATTTTTTTGAAAGCCCTTTCAGTTCTAATAACCTTGCGAGTAATAAGTTTGCGAATATTCCATCAATATTTGGGTACGAAATAATACCCCACCGTATAAATTTAGGCCCTAAGCATTTAACCTAACAGCCAATCACATATTAAATAATCATTCAATTTCTCAACTTTTTTGAAAACCTAAGCGAAGCTAGGCAGTATGCCTAGTAATCAATAAAGACTTAATTTCATGATCCTTACTGTATTAAAAAACCAAAATCTGCTCATGATCTTCTAATTTGGACTTTGGCCGGTCGTCCCTACCAGATAATCTTCTAATTTGGACCTGGCCGGTCCACCATGGCCAGTCCGAGGATTGGCCGGCCAAAGGCCGAAATCAAGAGCCATTTCAGACTAAAGGCCGAAATCAAGTAAAGTTTCGGACTTCGACCGGTCAATGGGTGGCAATTTTGGCCAATACGCGCTTTGGCCGACTTCGGGTTTTGACCGTAACACACACACACACACACACATATATATATATATATATATATATATATATATATATATATATATATATATATATATGTATATGTATATATATATATATATATATATATATATATATATATATATATATATATATATATATATATATATATATATATATATATATATATATATATATATATATATATATATATATATATATATATATATATATATACGCTAGATTAAAGATAAAATCTATTCGACAATATTTTCATCATCCATTGAAAAAAAAAACAAAAAAACATTAAAACTTACTACAAGCGTCCACTGCTATAGATGCTCCCATGTAACTCATGGTGTACTGTACTAGTGCAGGGGCCAGCGATGGTCGACGTAGAGTATATCTTTAAAATATAGGTTTAGCAGACTTTATATATATATATATATATATATATATATATATATATATATATATATATATATATATATATATATATATATATATAAACCTATAAATATTCCAACCTATTCTATTATTAAGCCGAATTGTAAGATGAACAACTGAGTAATTAATAGCCAGACCTGTGGCTAGCATTAGTAATTTACTGACGAAGATATTTTGTCGATACACCGTTCAATGCATGGAACAAAGAACACACCCGAGCATTGGCAAATATGCGACAAAACCACACCTCGCTGTATGAATCCTTGGACACAACTATACCGCACTGTACGAATCGTTGGACACAACTATACCGCACTGTACGAATCTTTGGACATAACTATACCGCACTGTACTAATCATTGGACACAACTATACCGCACTGTACGAATCATTGGACACAACTATACCGCACTGTACGAATCTTTGGACATAACTATACCGCACTGTACGAATCATGGGACAAAACTACACTTCACTTTACGAACACATGGACATAGACACACCACACTTTACAAATCCTGGGACAATCACAAACGGGAAAAAAAATCACAAGTTTAGATTAACCCTTGCGTTTCTACACAACAATAACTTACTTATATTTCAGGGAAAACCATTAGCGCTAGATTATCATGGTATTCCTAAACAACAATAACTGACAATAACTTACTTAATTTTAGGGCAGGTCTGCTAGCACATTAGATTAACCCTTATATTCCTACACAACAATAACTTAATATAATGGCAAGACGCTAGCACATTAGATTAACCCTTATATTCCTACACAACAATAACTTACTTAATTTCTGGTTTCTCTGGAAACGATAGGGTTAAATTCCGGCCGTCAGTCAAAGCTTGTATTTGTTTCAAGTTAGGAGAGACGTACAGCACCGCTTCATTCATACCTGTCGTGGGCGACAAAAAAAAAATTTAAAAAAATCGTCAAATAATTTTAAAATGCGTCGGGTGTTATTGAGAGTAAGTACCAGTCATCAAATTTGTCCACGGACTAGTTACATTTTGATTAATATATGTATTGGTCATTCCGGTTGTGGCCGACACAAAAAACACACAAAAAAATTGTCAAATAAATTTAAAATGCATTGGGCTTTATAGAAAATAAGAACTAATCATTGAAAGTTGCCCATGGACTAGTTACATTGACTCGTTACATAGTGATTTATACTGGTTTGGCCTAATTATCCCACAACAGTAACTACCTTTATTTTTACTTAATTAGTAATAAAACAGATAGCATTAGTTACCTCACAAGTTAAAGACAGTTACAAGTACTATGGACGTAATCACACTGTTGTGTGCTGACGAAGACCTTGGGTCGAAACGTCCATAGTACTTGTAACTGTCTTTAACTTGTGAGGTAACTAATACTATCTGTTTTATTACTAATTACATTAACCTCACTGCAGCTACCATTTGTTTTTTTATTTTTTCTTACACCTCTAATATATACAAAGGAAAAATACATTCTTTATTACAATTGCCTACCTCTCCAATAAATCCACAAAAAAACTACCTTTATTATTGTCACAAATACCTCCAATAAGCACACAAGAAAAACTACCTTTATTATTACATACACCTTTATAAATCCACAGGAAAAACTACCTTTATTAGTAGAATTACCACTAATAAATCCACAAAAACTACCTTTATTGTTATAAACACCACCAATAATCGCTAAAAAACTACCTTTATTATTACATAAACCTCTGATAAATCCACAGGAAAAAAATATCTTTATTATTAGAAACACCGCTAATAAATCCACAATACAAACTACCATTATTATTATATACTCCCTTATAAATCCACAGGAAAAACTACCTTTATTATTACATACACCGCTAAAAATTACTCAAAATAAAATAAACCGGGAGTGATCTCCCCTAAACTTTCTCGAATATTCTTATATAAAACAGCAGGGGATGGGAACTCGGGATATAGACATGATTTTTAATCCATTTTAAATACTTAAACTTTTTAAAATAGAATAAAATCTCGTGGAAAAAGAATTGCACACCAAGTGAACGCCAAATAAAGATGTGCATAATAGAGCGCAATATTATTAGTACTTTATAAATTTACATGCGCTTTTTAAGAAATTCGAAATAGCGTAAATTACTACTTCCGGACAACGGAAATTACTCAAAATTTGATAGACGGTAGAAAATTAGATCATTTTTTTACATGTGAAATTTTATTTATCTATCTGAAATAGTACTCAAGTTATAGTCTTTTAAAAAATTCAAAGTAAAAAAAGTACCACTTCCGGTTATCGGAACTCGCTAAAAAGTTGATACCGATCTACGATTTTGATAAAATACTTATGTATGAAATTTCATCAACCTAGCTGTAACGGTACTCAAGTTATCGTGTTTACACACACACACAGACACAGACACACACACAGACATACGGACAAGATAGCAAAATTATGTTTTTCCGTATCAGTGAGATGTAAAACGTCGAGATTTCTAAAAATCTCGATTTTTTTTTGCACGATTACAAGACTTTCCCTATACTTCGTATATACGAGAAATTAAAAACGTACCTTTATTGACGCCAATAAAAAAACTCCTGTCCCTTACACCCATGATAGCAAGACCAGAGGTCATACACTGTCCTGTCTCAGAGCTCAAACCCTGGCATCCGGTCACGGGGTAGCACCAGACCTCAGACACGGTGCCTACCTGTGGAGACACAGACTTTAGTCAGGTGGGATACAGGTGGTGCCTGTAGTATTTACCTGTGGGATACAGGTAATATCAGTGGTATATAGTAGGATATAGGTGGTACCAGTGGAATTTACCTGTGGGATACAGGGGGTACCTGTAGTATTTACCTGTGGGATACAGGGGGTACCTGTAGTATTTACCTACTGGATACAGGTATTTATATTTAGGATAAAGGTGATTCTGGTGGTATTTGTATGAAGGATACAGGTGCTACCAGTGGTATTTAACTGTGGGATACAGGAGATACCAGTAGTATCTACCTGTAGCATCAGGTGATACCAGTGGTATATACATGTTGGATCAGTAGCGTGGGGGGGGGGGGGGGGCGGGGGTACATATGTCCCCGGGCGCCGACCTTATGGGGCGCCAAAATGGTTTGGAAAAATAAATTGAAAGGTTGAGGGGGTGCAAATCGAAAGTTTGAGGGGGGGGGGGGTGCAAATCGAAAAGTTTGTCACCGGGCGCCGGGAAAGGTCGCTTCGCCTTTGTGTTGGATACAGATGCTACCAGTGGTATTTACTTGTGGCATACAGGTAAAACCAGAGGTGTTCGCATGTAGGATACAGGTGATACCAGTGGTATTTACCTGTGAGATACCGGTGATAAAAGTGGTATATACCTTTGGGATACATGTGAAACACGTGGTATTTACCTGTGGGATACAGGTTGAACCAGGTATTTACCTGCGGGATAAGGTAATATCAGTGGTATTTGCCTGTGGGATACTGAAAAACGAGATAGCACTGGCGCCTACCTTTGGAATACAGTTGATGCAAGTGGTACCCTAGATGTGCAATACAAAATCTAGTCGGGTATTACAAGAACAAAAACAGAACATACCCAATCAGAGGCGTAGCGACCCTTCCCGGCACTCGGGGACAAACTTTCAATTTTGCGCCCCCCCCCCCGGACAATTTTTCAATTTGGCGCCCCCCCCCCCTCCATATATTTTTTATATTTATAATGCAAAACTGCTAAATTGAGCTTTTAATTTTTTTTTTGGCGTCCCATAGGGTCGGCGCCCGGAGCCATATGTACCCCCCCCCCTCGCTACGCCTCTGTACCCAATATCAACATCACCTACACAACAACCAAGACTCACGCATTTAAATTTTTTTGGGAAGTACGAGGTGAAGTTGAACAAGAAGTAAGCCCCGCCCCCCTCCCTCGCTACGCCTCTGTACCCAATATCAACATCACCTAAACAACAACCAAGACTCACGCATTTAAATTTTTTCGGAAAGTACGAGGTGAAGTTGAACAAGAAGTAAGCCCCGCCCCCCTCCCTCGCTACGCCCCTGTACCCAATATCAACATCACGTACACAACAACCAAGACTCACGCATTTAAATTTTTTTGGGAAGTACGAGGTGAAGTTGAACAAGAAGTAAGCCCCGCCCCCTCCCTCGCTACGCCCCTGTAACCAATATCAACATCACCTACGTAACAACCAATACTCACGCATTTAAATTTTTTCGGAAAGTACGAGGTGAAGTTGAACAAGAAGTAAGCCCCGCCCCCCTCCCTCGCTACGCCCCTGTAACCAATATCAACATCACCTACGTAACAACCAATACTCACGCATTTAAATTTTTTCGGAAAGTACGAGGTGAAGTTGAACAAGAAGTAAGCCCCGCCCCCCTCCCTCGCTACGCCCCTGTAACCAATATCAACATCACCTACGTAACAACCAATACTCACGCATTTAAATTTTTTCGGAAAGTACGAGGTGAAGTTGAACAAGAAGTAAGCCCCGCCCCCCTCCCTCGCTACGCCCCTGTAACCAATATCAACATCACGTACACAACAACCAAGACTCACGCATTTAAATTTTTTTGGGAAGTACGAGGTGAAGTTGAACAAGAAGTAAGCCCCTCCCAGCAGAACGAAGCCGACGCCGCCTATGATGCCGCAGACGAACTTCTGGAGGAAAGAACCAAACGTCATGCTGGAACTTCCGGTCTTCACATCTTACGGCCAACACTGGCACTCGTCTCTCTGTAAAGGGTAGGTTAGGTCGGTCTTTTGGGTTTATAAAGGGAAGGTTAGGTCAGTCTTTTGGTTTTATATATGGTAGGTTAGGTCGGTCTTTTGGTTTTATAAAGGGTAGGTTAGGCCGGTCTTTCTGGTTTTATAAAAAGTAGGTTTGGTCGGTCTATCAGATTTTATAAAGGGTAGTTTAGGTCGGCCTATCACTTTTTATAAAGGTAAGGTTAGGTCGGTCTATTGGTTTTATAAAGAGTAGATTAGGTCGGTCTATCAATTTTTAGGTCTATTAATTTGTAGATTTGGTCAGTCTTTCTGGTTTTATAATTTGTATATTTGGTCAGTCTATCGTGTTTATAAAAGGTAGGCTATGTTTAGTTTCTGTAATGTAAGCTATGGGTAAAGTTACGTTACGTTATAGCCATTGGTGAAAGTGACAAGTGATGAGTGACACGTGACAGTTTACACGTGACAGTTGAGAGGTGAAAGGTTAGAAGTGAGAGGTGAAAGGTTAGAAGTGAGAAGTGAAAGGTTAGAAGTGAGAGGTGAAAGGTTAGAAGTGAGGGGTGAAAGGTTAGAAGTGAGAAGTGAAAGGTTAGAAGTGAGAGGTGAAAGGTTAGAAGTGAGAAGTGAAAGGTTAGAAGCGAGAAGTGAAAGGTTAGAAGTGAGAGGTGAAAGGTTAGAAGTGAGAGGTGAAAGGTTAGAAGTGAGAGGTGAAAGGTGAAAGGTTAGAATTGAGAGGTGGAAGGTTAGAAGTGAGAGGTGAAAGCCGATAGGTGAGGCGATACAGGTAAGGAGAGAGGTAACAGGCGACAGGGGTGAGATGTATAGATACAGGTGAGAACTGATAGGTCAGATCTAACAAATTAGAAGTGACAGGTCATAGGTCATAGGTGATAGGCTAGAGAGGTGCAGAGGCGTAGCGACCCTTCCCGGCGCCCGGGGACAAACTTTTCGATTTGCACCCCCCTCCCCCCCTCAAGATTTCGATTTGCACCACCCCCCCCCCCCTCAAACTTTCATTTTGCTCCCCCCCCCTCAACCTTTCAATTTATTTTTCCAACCCATTTTGGCGCCCCCTAAGGTCGGCGCCCGGGGACATATGTCACAGGGGTCATCCATACATGACGTCACACTCGTAGGGGGGGAGGGGGGGTCCGTAATTTTGTGACGATGTGTGATGAGGGGGAGGGGGGGTCAGATGTTGCGACGTCACATTTTTGCATTATAAAAAAGCAATGTTAGAAAACGAATTTTAGACGTTATTTCGCGTTTTAGATAACTGTTTTAATAAATTGTAATAGTTTAGACAAGATTTTGGAAAAATATCAATGTTTTAAAAAAATTCAACTGCAATTTTGAGGGGGGTTGTAGGTTGAGGTGTGACGTCATTTTAGGGGGGGTCTGGCTTTTTGTGACGAAGTGTGACGGAGGGGAGGGGGGAGGTAAAAATCGTCAAAAAAAGCGTGACGTCGTTTATGGATGACCCCATAGTAAAAAGATCTAGATTCTAGATCTAGATCTAGATTCTAGATTCTAGATCTAGATCTAGATCTAGATCTAGATTCTAGATTCTAGATCTAGATCTAGATCTAGATCTAGATTCTAGATCTAGAGTCTAGATCTAGATGTCTAGATTTCAAGGTATAATATTAAATACTCACAAAGGCACATAATTGTTCTTCCTTTTATTTTGCAGGATTTTTACTTTTTGAATTTAGATCTAAATCTATCTAGTATTAGATTTAATTAATTATTAATTTAGGTAGAGTAGCAAAATTTAAATATTTTATCTTTAGATGAAAGTTAAATAACTGAGAAATGGTTTCACTCAAATGAAATAAAAATAAACACAATAATAAATTAGTTGTTCACGCATGGTGTAAAACTGAGTCGAAGTAAAAATATATCGGAAATTTCCATAAGTTTGATAATAAAGCGAACAGAGACGGACAATAATATACATCTTTGATGATCTTTCAGAATGATTTAAAACTGTAAAAAACTATAGGCCCTACATAGTTAAGAACAGTTTTAGAACACTAAAATGATAAGGTATGATTTGAATACTTTCCATTTAAAATTTCTCTTTGGCACTAATAAAAATTATTATCAAAGAAATGGAAAAAGCGGGACTGAGTTCATTGGCTTTTTTTTTATTTTTACCAGAAATTGCTCAAAAGCTAACAGAAACCTACTTATAGCATCTAGTACTTATTTTTGAGGTTTCGTCCACTTAAGTGAAAAACGTTATCGTGTGTATCTATATTACAGAAAGAGAGAGAGAGAGAGAGATGGAGAGAGAGAGAAAGAGAGACAGTGAGAGAGACAGAGTGAGAGAGAGAGACAGTGAGAGAGACAGAGTGAGAGAGGGATAGAGGGATAGAGAGACACACAGGCAGACAGACAGACATGCATACATGCAAACTAGATTGCAAAGCTGAGCTAAAAATAATTACAGCATGATGCCTATGTGATATTACTAAGGCTAAAAGGGGAGAGGACATCGCGAGGAAAACATTAGACTTGAATTGGCGGGGAAAGAGGGAAGTAGTCTGGCCAAGGAAATCCTGGAGAAGGAAAGTAGAAGATGAGGTAAGGGCTACCTGGCTAACATGGGCGCAAATAAAGAGAGCCGCTCAAAGTCGATTCCGATGGAGAGGTGTGGTTGCAGCCCTTTGTTCTTCATGGGCCACCAGGGGCGTAGCGAGGGGGGACGGGGGGTGCGGACCGCACCGGGTGACACCATTTAGGGGGGTGACACCAAGGCAAAAAATAGTAAAATATATAGAGAAAAACTTGAGGGGGGGGTGGTGCAAATCGAAAGTTTGAGGGGGAGGGGGTGGCAAATCGAAAACTTGGAAGCTTTCCCCGGGAAGGGTCGCAACGCCTCTGGGGGGGGGGGGGGGGGGGTGACACCATTAAGTGCCGCACCGGGTGACACCCGACCTCGCTACGCCACTGTGGGCCACATAGGAATTTGTGAAGTGAATGCATACATACAAAGTAGATTGGAAAACTTGAACTGGAAATGTCCGTGTTATATTACTAAATAATCTTATTAGCAATTCGAAAACGTAGCCAAATGTATATTCATTATAACATACGATCATGAATTTAGATGTTAGATATTACTACATCGTTTATATGGCAGTTATTACTATAGCATTTAGATGTTATATATTACTACAACGTACTCTTAGGACCTAATTTGACAGCTTTTAAAAAATCATTTAACAATTTAAGATAAGGTAATGAAGTCAAGAATATTTAACTGAACATTTATCAAAACAGTATTTTTTTTCTAGTTAACCTTTTGACTGCGCCCTATCGTATTTTTTTATCAACACCATCATACCAACTTTTGTTTCAGCGTTTTCCATACATAACGACCGATACGTATGTCGTTAACCTAAGCCAAACTACATTCTGGTAGAATTGCTGATCATTTTGGTCACAAGAACTTCTGTTGACAAACATGTTTGATTGAGACTTGTTCGTAATGATGGGTAGCTTTAAATCCTTTTGAACATTGTATTTTAATTCATCAAATAATAGGTATATTTTCTCAGGGTAGTTTTAAATACATTTGAACAGTGTACAGTATTTCAACAAGTGATGCACCTATTCTATAAGAATACTATTTAACACAGTGGTTCTTAACCTGGGTTCGACCGAACCCCGTGGGGTTTGGTAGGTCATTCTTAGGGGTTCGGCGGAGGTCAAGACACACACCCGACTCATGTGATTCACGATCGGATTTTTGTCAGTGTGGACGATAAATTAAGATTGGTTCGGTGGATGAGCATATGAAACTGATGAGGGTCGGTACCTCCAAAAAAGTCAATGAGAACCTATAATGAAACAATTTGAGGAAATAAAGATCTTACACACAATGTTATGTGGGACGGAGTGGTCTAGCGGTAGAGAGCTGGACTGCTAACCCGTAAGTCTCGAGTTCGAATCCTGGTCCAAGTCAGTAGACCGTCCCTGAGTCCACCCAACTCTGATGGGTACCTAACTCCTGTTAAGGAAAGTAAAGGCGTCTGGGCATAGTGCTGACCACAATATCTCTTCATATGCCGAGGTCACAGAAACAAGTCAACTCTACTTCACTTGCCCGTCAGGTTTGAAAGGGAAACCTTACTTACTTACACAATGTTAAACAACAAAGTAATTATCGAAACTAAATGCTACTAAAACTGTTAGATCTTTCTTATGTTTTAGCCGTAGTTGTTAATAATATACGGCCAAGTGCGGATTTTATCAAGTAAATTTTAAATAAAAAATTCAAGACTTAATTTAAAAATTAACTATCTATTGATTCATTTTCGCTAACTTAATTGTTAATTGATCATTAAAATACAGTTTCTAAAAATACTTTTTTAAAAAAGCCAAAGTGTGACGTCACACTGTGTTCACCAGCTGGTCAGCTCGATGTTTATTGCCTGTCGATTGTAAACAAGAAGAGCGTGTTAAGGGAAATCATCAACAACTTAAGCCTGAGTTAGCACTTCCACGAAAAGGTAACACCCGATTTCAATTTCAGCTTTCATAGTTTTTTTTTATTACTGTCGTTGTTTTATTCAAAATTTATTTACGAAAACCCAACACACACAATTTTTTAAAATATATAATTTGACTAATTTCTTATTGGATCGTTCGCCTTTAACATATGCGTCGTTGTTTTTTGCAATTGTATGTACAAAAAAAAACAACAAAAAACAACCCAACACCATTTATTTTTGTTTTTCTTTAAATTCTATAAATTGACTAATTTCTTATTGGATCATTTGCCCTGTAACATATACTTCTAAACGAAATTCAACAAATATTATTTAAAATTGGTAAGAGGTGATACTTGAACATTGTAATTATATAACGTTAGTTTGTACAAGTGTTACTTGACTATACTAAATTGCATTGGTGTGTAATGCAACAATCTTCGAATTAGCAATATGTCATTTCGCTACGCCTTCGTTTTACAATGCCACTTTTCAAAATGTTAAATTTTTTTTCAATAGATGTTTCGCTTTGCTTTGATTATACTATTGCAAAGTTTACTTCAAAAAAGTTTACAACAGAAGTAAGTAATATAAGGGGCACCATTTATACATTCATATTAAATGTAAATAACGAAACATAAAATAGAATGTTGGTTCTAAGGATGTACTTAAATATCTGATCAAATCAATATTTTTAATTACTTAAAAAAAACAACATATTTTCAGTTTCTCAAATTTTGTTTAGATTTCCTGTAAAGAATAATATTTTGAAAATCTCTTAAATATTCTATAAACTGGGCACTAAACTGCATTATACTGATCTCACAGATTTAAAAAAAAGAAAATTAAAAAAAGGGCCTAGGGGTCACCCATAAATGACGTCACGCTTTTTTGGACGATTTTTAATTCCCTCCCCTCCGTCACACGTCGTCACAAAAAGCCAGACCCCACCCCTAAAATGACGTCACACCTTACGCTACAACCCTCCTCAAAATTGCAATTGAATGTTTTTTTTAAATCGATATTTTTCTAAAATCTTGTCTGAACTCTTTCAAAATAGAGTATTTTAATCAATTCCTATTACAATATATTAAAACAGTTTTCTAAAACGCGAAATAGCATCTAAAATTCGTTTTCTAATATTGCAAAATTACGGACCCCCCTCCCCCTTACGAGTGTGACATCATTTATGGACGACCCCCTAATGCTTGTTTAGCAAAGCCTTCTCTAACTTTTGTCATATTTTATGTGGAGTACAGTTTATCGGCGTTAGCTGAAACAGACATCAAAAAAGAATACTGGAACTTATTCAAAACACCAGAGGAAATCGACGATGGGAAAGTAAAGGAGAAACTGGTGAGTTTGGTTTGCTAAGGCTCGTTATCTGGGGACAGCCACTCTTCTAGGAGAGACAACTCCAAAATCAAACAACTGCTGCCTTGTAGTTTGTTCTTGGTTGGACAAAGGCTATGGAAGCAAATCCAAAAAGAAAAGCAGGCTGAAATCGGAGTCAATGAATGGCGCATAACCAGTTGACACGTATCCTTAATTATGATGGAAGCATGCTCGAGTCGGCAAAGCTCATGGTTGTTAAATTCGAAAAAAGTCTCGAGTTTAAACCCTCTGGCAGATGAGGCTCGATCCCTTCCAACACTAAAAATTAAGAACGAAGAAAAAGAAGAAGAAGGTAAGCTAAGGCCATCATCTATTGAGTGTGAGGCCCCAGAGATTGTCCGTGCTTAAATGTATACCCAGTCCATTAGTGAGCAATTTGAAAAGTTGAAACTTAAAACTATGGCCAATTGAACTGTGATCGGATCAAATAATTCAAACTTAAACTTTAGCATAATTAAATAATTCACACATGAACTGTAGCCAAATTCAATAATTCACACATGAACTGTAACAATATCAAATAATTCACACTTTAATTAACAGTAGCCAAATTAAATAATTCACACATTAGCTGTAGCCAAATTAAATAATTCACACATGAACTGTAACAATATCAAATAATTCACACTTTAATTAACAGTAGCCAAATTAAATAATTCACACACTAGCTGTAGCCAAAATAAATAATTCACGCATTAGCCATAGCCCAATTCAATAATTCACACATGCAATGTAGCCAAATTAAATAATTCACACATGCATTGTAGCCAAATTAAATATTTCACACATGAATTGTAGCCAAATTAGATAATTCACACATGAATTGTAGCCAAATTAAATAATTCACAGATGAACTGTAGCCAAATTAAATAATTCACACATGAACTGTGGCCAAATTAAATATTCCACACACGAACTGTGGCCAAATTCAATATTTTACAATCGAACTGTGGCCAAATTAAATATTTCACACATGAACTGTGGCCAAATTAAATATTTCACATATGAACTGAGGCCAAATTAAATAATTCACATACACACTTTAGCCACATTAAATAATTTACACATTAAATGTAACCAAATTAAATAATTGACACTATAAGGCTATATCGTCTTACAATTCTAGGAACGCATTATTTTTACGCAGCACTTTTTTCGCGGGATTGGTTCAAGTTCAAGCGAAACAAAATCTAATTCGAGAGTATCTTATCATGGATGCTGTGAATCGTAAGTAGATTTAAAGTTATTTGTCTGAGCTAAAACCATGACGTACAGCCTAACCGTGACAGGTCCAAATGGGCTAAACTGTTAAAGGCTACTAGTAGGTAGCACAGTTGTTGGGGAAAGTGAAGGCTACCAGATCTAGCAGGTAGCACAGTTGTTGGGGAAAGTAAAGGCTACTATAACTAGTAGGTAGCACAGCTGTTTGGGAAAGTAAAGGCTACTATAACTAGTAGGTAGCACAGCTGTTTGGGAAAGTAAAGGCTACCAGATCTAGTTGGTAGCACAGTTGTTGGGGAAAGTAACAGCTACCAGATCTAGTAGGTAGATCAATTGTTGGGGAAAGTAAAGGCTACTATATCTTATAGGTAGATCAATTGTTGGGGAAAGTAAAGGCTACTATAACTAGTAGGTAGCACAGCTGTTGGGGAAAATAAAGGCTACTATATCTTATAGGTAGATCAATTGTTGGGGATATGTTAAGGCTATTTCACTAAAATTAAATACGTATAAGGCGTCGTGAATGGAAAGTAGAGTACACGAATGATAACCCAAATGTTTTACTTTCATATCCCAGTCTCGAGTTTTATAGCCGTAAAAATTGTCCCATTCTACCACCATCTTTCGTGGTAAAAAAACAGGTCAACTCTGTTTCATCTGTCCTGTTGATATTCTGTCAAAAAAATTTTTTTTTGCTGACTATACTTTAAATACTAATCCTATACTTTATTGAAACGCTAACGCTTTGATTATCTCCTTGACTATACATACTAAACTTTCTTTTATTTTACAAAATAACCCTAAACCTTCTTGTTTACATACTAAACATTAAACCTTCCTGATTACATACTAACCATAAACCTTCCTGATTACATACTAACCCTAAACCTTCCTGATTACATACTAACCATAAACCTTCCTGATTACATACTAACCCTAAACTTCCTGTTTACATACTAACCCTAAACCTTCTAGTTTACATACTAACCGTAAACCTTCTAGTTTACATATCAACCCTAAACATTTATGTTTACAAACTAAACCCTAAACCCTTTTGTTTACATACTAACCCTAAACCCTTTTTGAATTGCTAACACTTTCAGTACCTCCATGATAGTAATCCTAAACCTTCTTGTTTAAATACTAACCATAAACCTTGAAATGTTAACACTTTCAATACCTCGATGCTAGTAACCCTAAACCTTCTTGTTTAAATACTAACCATAAACCTTGAAATTTTAACATTTTCAATACCTCGATGCTATTAACCCTAAACCTTCTTGTTTACATACTAACCATAAACCTTGAAAAGTTAACATTTTCAATACCTCGATGCTATTAACCCTAAACCTTCTTGTTTACATACTAACCCTAAACCTTCTTGAAATGTTAACACTTTCAGTACCTCCAACCTAGTAACGCTAAACCCTCTTGTTTAAATACTAACCATAAACATTCTTGAAATGCTACCACTTTCAGTACCTCAATGCTAGTAACCCTAAACCTTCTTGTTTAAATACTAACCCTAAACCTTCTTGAAATGCTACCACTTACAGTACCTCCAACCTAGTAACCTACGAGACCCTCCCGAACATGCTAGGTCAGAATGTCACCCTGGTCAGCTTATCCAACAGGAAACAGTATTTTACTAAAGAAACTTGCCGGTGAGATTCGATGTGTTTAGCGTATCATATTTTTTTAAAGTATTGGTTAGTAGTAATTTTGGACAGCGTGGCCTAAGCGGTAGAGCATGAGGCTACTAACACGAAAGTCTCGAGTTCGAATCCGTGTTCCTCAAATCAGTATAGCGTCAATTTGTACGGAGGGTTCTGATGGATACCTAACTCACGTTAGAGAAAGTAAAGGCGGCTGTGCAAAGTGCTGACCACACCCTACATATTCCGAGGTCAAGAAACATGGACTCTACTTCACCTGCCCAATGCTAGGTCTAAAGAGGATTCACTACTACGTTTACTCTAATTAAAAGTATTATGTTCCCTTTATTTTCACATTTCGTTTTACCATTGCGTTCCAACATTGCGTCGTTTATTTAAATAAAGCCAATCGTCAACAGAGAAAATATACGCTTTTAATTTTATTATTATTATGGGAAGAGACGGCGCGGGAGCGAGCTAGACTGCTAAATCGAACGTCTCGAGTTCGAACCCGTGTTTAAATAAGATGAACGTCCCTGAGTCCACGCAGCTCTGTTGGGTACCTAACTCAAGTTAAGGAAACAAAGACGGCTGGGCATAGTGCTGACCACATTATTCCCTTGTATTCCGCGGTCTTTGAAACAGATAAACTCTACTTCATCTGCCCCGTGTGTCTTGGGCACAAGGGGGAAAAGATGATGATTATTCTTATGGGATTTCGTGGTTGGAGAGTATAGCGCAGGACTCCTAAACCGTGAGTATTGAGTTCGGATCAAATACTCAAGTCCGTTGTATGTCTCCGAGTCCACCCAGCTTTGGAGGGCAGAGGCGTAGCAAGGGCGGCGCGGGGGGTGCGGACCGCATCGGGTGACACAATTTATGGGGGTGTCACCATGGTAAAAATAAGCAAAATTTACAGAAGAAAAATGCTTTTTACCAGCTCCATTAATGATTAATTAAAGTTAAAGAGTCTTTTAAGTGATAATCGACAATTATTGCAAGTGGGTGGGGTGACAGGTGACATGTCGTAAACGTGCTAACTTAAAAGAAAGCAATTCTACATCCAACTGCATTATTAACACTATATATATATATATATATATATATATATATATATATATATATATATATATATATACTTTATTTCTTGGGGGAGGGGGGTGACAACACGAAGTGTCGCACCGGGTGACACCCGACCTAGCGACGCCACTGTTGGAGAGTACTAGACTCATATTAGGGAAAGTAAAAAGTGGCTGGGCATAGTTCTAACCACAATAGCCCTTCATATACATAGAACACAGAAACAGGTTAATAATATGATTAATAATATGGTTAATAATATAATTTAATAATATGGTTAATAATACGGTTACTATGATTATAAACAATGGTTAATAATATAGTTGATTATATTGTTAATAATATGGTTAATAATATGGTAAATATGATTTGAAAAAAATGGTTAATTATATAGTTGATTAAATAATTAATAATATGTTAATAATATGGTTAAAAAATTGGTTAATCACATGGTTAATCATATGGTTAGTCGTATGGTTAATATTATGGTTAATAATATGGCTAATAATATAATTTAACAATATGGTTAATTATATGGTTTATATGATTTCAAAATTGGTTAATAATATGACTAATAATATGGTTGAGAATATGGTTAATAATATAGTAACTGATATGGTTAATGATATAGTTAATAATATGGTTAATGCTATTGTTAATGATATGGTTAATGATATGGTTAATAATATGGTTAATAATATTGTTAATAACACGGTTAATAATATGGTTAATAATATGGTTAATAATATGGTTAATAATATGGTTAATAATATGGTCAATAATATGGTTAATAATATGGTTAATAATATGGTTAATAAAATGTTTAATAATATGGTTAATAACATGGTTAATAATATGGTTAATAATATGGTTAATGATATTGTTAATGATATGGTTAATAATATGGTTAATATCATGGTTAATAATATGGTTAGTAATATGGTTGATAAAATTTTTAATAATATGGGGTTAATAATATGGTTAATAATATGGTTAATAATATAATTAATAATATGGTTAATAATATGGTTAATAATATGGTTAATAATATGGTTAATAATATGGTTAATAATATGGTTAATAATATGGTTAATAAAATGGTTAATAAAATGTTTAATAATATGGTTAATAACATGGTTAATAATATGGTTAATAATATGGTTAATGATATTGTTAATGATATGGTTAATAATATGGTTAATATCATGGTTATTAATATGGTTAGTAATATGGTTGATAAAATGTTTAATAATATGGGGTTGATAATATGGTTAATAATATGGTTAATAATATAATTAATAATATAATTAATAATATGGTTAATAATATGGTTAATAATATGGTTAATAATATGGTTAATAATATGGTTAATAATATGGTTAATAATATGGTTAATAATATAGTTAATAACATGGTTAATGTAATTGTTAACATTTAAAACAGGGCAGCGGAGAACTGCTTCCTTGGCTGCCGTTGTGTGATGGTCGACGAAATATTTTCTGCCCTGGTGTACAACCCGCTCTACCCCAAGTCCAGCAACGAAAAGGTCATCCTGACCTTCGTCCACACTCCTTCATTTTGTCGCTGTTACAATGTCGGAGAGTAGCCGTAGCACTCAGGCTAACGTGTTGAATAAACATACGGTTGACAATAGGTTGTTGTAGTTTTGTACTCAAAGGGTGTCGCTGTCTGTAAATCGATGTTCGTGTAGTGTTACGAATATTGTAAAATAGAAATACACTGGTAGCTCGAGTGGCCCAACTATACGAGCAGCATTTCCTCCAGGTAGAGCCAGGGGCGGAACTACCTTACCGCCAGACCCCGCAATGCGGGGGGGGCCCAGGACGTTTAGGGGCCCAGTTCCGACCAAAAAACAATGCATTTTTTTTTTCAAAAATTATGTTTTTCATGCATCTTAAACGTGGTTTTGTAAAAAACGAAAAAAAAAAAAAAAAAAAAACAGGTCTACTATAGCAGAGATTGTTGCGTAGAAAAATATTTTAAAATCTACAAGAGCTATAGTTTGAAAGGTAGGTAAACATTCACACAACTTCCATGACTTACTGCCCTTCTTTAATTAAAATAGGGATGCCCACAAAGCTAATTTAAATAGTTTTGTACTATGTATATTAAAAAGCTATTGTTTCTCTGAATTGTTACTTAAATAAGACGTACTATACAATAGTATAGCTATAAAAATCAATGTTTTCAAAATTGATATTATAAAAGCCAAAAATGAAAAAAATAAACATAACGCGAGAAACCATTCACGAATTAAGCTAACGTCTTTATATATTTTTGACCAGCATATTTAAGCCGATGAGTTTAGATTACAATGAGTTTGGACTAAATTCTTTTATGTTTTGTTCGCTCAGAATGGTTATATATTGCAATGAAGTAGTCTAAATTACTCAGTTAGGATATATATATATATATATATATATATATATATATATATATATATATATATATATATATATGTATATATATATATTTATTATATATATAGGGGGCCCTAGATTTTTCTTTGCGGGGGAGCCTTTGATTTCTAGTTCCGCCACTGGGTAGAGCCCCCCCCCCCTACCCCACTCGAAAAACGTCTACGACACCCCCTTTGAACAAAATGGAAGTTATACAGAAAATATATACTTTTACCTGTGTCCGCACCACACCCCCCCCCCCCCCGGAAAATTTAGTCCGCAGCAAAAAGTTTCAATTCGCACCCCCCCCTCCATTCGCGATTTTAAAAAATCTGAAAGAAACACTGTAGACATCTATGTCTTTGAGATTCAAGCAGTCGAGCGGCTATTTCTTGTTATGGGTTTCGAGCAACATGTGAGGTACCAGGAACTAGATCCGCGGGGGTTGCAGGTTTTTAAAGAATGAAACATCTCTAAAGCTTTGCAACTGATAGTATATCGCAGCTTATTTTCTTCTTCTTCGTTCTTAATTTTAATCTTTAGGAGGTCTTCCCCAACACAATTAAGTATTACGTGCTAACTTGTTAAGCGCCATATAGGCCGTTGACTCAGATTCCAGCAGAGGCGTGGCGACCCTTCCCGGCGCCCGGGGACATACTTTCAATTTGGCGCCCCCCCTTTGGGAGCAAATTTTCGATTTGCACTCCCCCTCGAACTTTTCATTTGCACCCCCCCCTCAAACTTTCAATTTGGCGCCCCCCCCTAAGGTCGGCGCCCGGGGACATATGTCCCCCCGGCCCCCCCCCCCTCGCTACGCCTCTGGATTCCAGCCTGCTTTTGGTTTTTGGATTTGCTTCCACAGCCTTCGTCAAACCAAGAACAAACTACAAGGCAGCAGTTGTTTTGAATGAAACTCGTCTAACGCATTTCCGCAACTTCTGAAAGGGAGAAATAAAAACTTCCTTTTCAAATTTTGTTTTAAATGGCCTGCACGTAAATGTGAGTAAAGCGTGACGTAAAAGGTAAAGACCAGTGAAGTGAAGCAATTTAAAAAAAAAACAACAAAAACAACAAAAAAACAAAGCGAAATTTAAAATAAACTAGCCGTACCAACCAGACCCTGCACTGGCCTCTGTGAAAAAATCTGTAAAGGACCTTGACTTGTGTGTTTAGTAAACAGCATATACACGGCAAACACAAACGCAAACACAAACGCCAACACAAACACAAACGCAAACAATAATGCACAACAAACACAAACTTAAATGCAAATATAAACGCATAATGCTCAAAGTATAGCTCGGGGACAAATCGCACCCTGCCAAGCGCCGCCGGAACCGCCTGATTTTAGTAAACGACTATAACAGCCCATTTTATCCATATTCTATTGAACTCACTAAACCGAACGTAGGTGCCATAGCGCACGCGGGAAGGCCCAGGGCGCCAATATATACATAGTTTAAGTTCAGAAAATAACACGTTTTTACCAAAGTTTGATTTTGTGTGGTAAGAGCAGGAGAACTATTGACCCCCAAGAGATTTCTTCATGACAATTTCTTCAGCATGCTTTTGTTTTTGGATTTATTTCCAAAGCCTTTGTCCTTCCAAGAACAAACTACGTTATTTCTTATTTTGCTTCGAGCGAATTTAATGCTTTTTGTTGTTTTGTTTTACTAAGGAACTTTTATATAAATCTTTTTTTTGTTTTTTTAATCACACATTCAAGTTCTTATGGACATATACACCAATGGATCAAAACTCCCCCCCCCCCCCTCCCTTTGGCCCCACCTTTAACCGACGGGGTAGCTCATCACAGAGTTTGAACCGCTGCACTAGGAAATGTTTATACCGTGACCTATATTTTCTAGCACGCTGTTTACTTCCATTCTGTGTCAGTCAGAGCCTTTGAATGTGTAGTTAGTCCCAAAGGCAGCGCAATCTAGAACTACTTAACATTTACATCAAGGAACGAGGTGAATTGGTAAGTGTTGGCCTTATTTTTGGCATTAGGAAATGTGAAATTTTCAATTGTCTCCATCGTTAGATTATTATGTGGATTATGACAACACTGTTGCGTTATGAACACAGCTGAATACCAGCCGATCATACACTATTCTCAACGACACTGTCGTTGAGTGGCTTATCAACAGTGTCGGTATATAATAACGCTATAGATTTTTTCTCATTTGATTCTGTCGTTGAGACTCTAATTATAGTTATAAACTGTAAAAACTAGCTAACGGAATAAAACCATTTCGATTAATTAATCGCTTAAAATATTTAATATAAGAAAAATTAAACAACCATTCATTTTACAGAGCTAATAATAATTAATATTATAAAAATGCATCTTCTGTCTTTAAAATTGAAAATTAAATTATTTTTAGCAATATAAATTAATACAGTGGATTGCTGAATTTAATTGTGATCATAGTTATGATTAATTTTAGAGATTATATGATTAATTTATACACAATTAGAATTACAGAATATTGATTATTCGGTATAGAAAACATTAGGGTAGAGATTACTAAATGATATAATATAGGATTATGTAATATAGAATATATTAGTATATTATTATAGAATCTAGGCTATACAACAAGTAATACATGATATGATTGCAAAATAGAAAAAATACATAATATAAAGGCCCATTTTGTAATCGAATTTAAGACTCATTTCGTTTACAATATGTTATTACAAATATAAAATTGTAGAATACGTAATAGCTATTTTTATCGAATTTATACATAGAATGTGCTATATAATCTTAAGAACATGATTATGTAGTGGCGTTGGTACAAGGTGTGCCAAGGGGCTATACCCCCCGATTTATATATATATATATATATATATATATATATATATATATATATATATATATATATATATATATACATATTTACTGTACTCAGGTAGTACCCCTAACCAGAGGAGTCACAAGGTAGGGCGGGGCTGAGGACTGCGCAAGGTGGCAAAATTTCGGGGGTGACACCATGGCGAAAAATAGCAAAATATATAGAAGAAGTATGCATTTTGACAGTTCAATAAATGACTAATGAGAGTTAACTGTACTAATAACTGACTGCAGATTAAAAAAAATATACAATTAACTGTGCACGTTTAAAAACTATCACCCAGGGGGGGGGGGGTGAGGGGAGATGACACAAACGGCAAAATGTACAGGTGAATACATGCTTGTTGAATTTTTGGATAACAGATTTGCTAAGCGACGACCGGAGAGAGGCTGATACCAAAATCTAATAATTTATGATGAAAACGATGCTTTTTTTCACATGAATTAATAGGTGGATTAAGTGCAAAATTTGACGCCATTGGGGAAAATGGGAAGTCACCAAATGTAGCTATATATATATATATATATATATATATATATATATATATATATATATATATATATATATATATATATATATATATATATATATGCATATGTAGAATCATATATATATATTTCTCTCTATGTATATATATAATGAAGTTTTGCTTGTTTGTTTGTGGGTTTGTTTATGTCCTCTATGCAGCACTACATCTTTCATCCTATGGCCATGCAACTTAAGTTAAGAATACCACTGGATATATTTCACAAGCACGCAGTGTTTCTTCCAGACTTTTTTCTCCGGGGGGGCACTTGAAATCTTCGGGGGGGGCGGTAAACTTTCTTCGGGGGGGCGGACACTGTTAAAAGTATATATTTTCTATATAAATTATATAAATTTCATTTCGTTCGGGGGGGGGGGGCGGTAAAAATTTTTCGGGGGGGCTTCGCCCCCCCGAAGAGATGCCTGGAAGAAACTCTGCAAGCACGGTGCCCCAGCAGTGCGCGAATAGATTCTTCCCTATATAGGGTATATATACGAAAAAGTAGATTGCGGTTTAATCCCGTTTATCCGCTCGCCATAAAACTTCAGGGGAGGTTTCAGTAAGAAATTCTTTTTTTTTATTTTAACAGGGCGGCGCTCCTGGAGGGTGCAATTTTTCTCTACACAGTTTGTAAAAAACAAAACGGATGCTGTTTGACATCGTTCATCTGAGTGCCGTTAAACTTTCGAGAGTTAATGAAAACACTCACGAGAAGGTTTCTGCGAAAACAAAAATTAAAATTTGTTATGGGCGTTTCCCTGGAGGGTGCGATTTTTGTTAAGAAACGGCTTGGCGCCCGAAAATCCAGTGCGGCGATATTAAAACTTGAGCCTTCTGCATGGGG